TCTTGTGGGACAGTCTTGTAGGACACTCTTGTGGGACACTCTTGTGGGACACTCTTGTGGGATACTCCTGTAGGATCCTGTAGGACACTCAGACTCTCTTCCAGCTCCCCAGATACTCCGCGTACTAAAGTTGTACTACAAGGTCGCCAGTTCTCAGCTTCCAGCTCCCCAGATACTCCGCGTACTACAGTTGTACTACAAGGTTCAGCTTCCAGCTCCACAGATTGCTCCGCGTACTAAAGTTGTACTACAAAGTCGCCAGTTCTCAGCTTCCAGCTCCAGAGATTGCTCCGCGTACTAAAGTTGTACTACAAAGTCGCCAGTGCTCGCCTGCATTTCGCGCTCGACACGCACGATCTCCGCAGAGGGTTGCGCGGGCACCCGGCGCGCGGCGCTCTCGCCTGCATTTCGCGCACTCGAAGCGCACGATCTCCGCAGAGGGTCGCGCGCGGACCGGACAAATCGCACTCTCGCCTGCATTTCGCGCACTCGACACGCACGATCTCCGCAGAGGGCTGTGCGCGCATGGGACAAATCGCACTCTCGCCTGCATTTCGCACACTCGACACGCACGATCTCCGCAGAGGGTTGCGAGTCAAGTCTCCAAAACGAGCGTTTCGTACGAGACTTCCTCAAAAACTCACACGTCAAAGTCTGCAAAACGAGCGTTTCGTACGAGACTTCCTCCAAAAGTCAAGCGGAAACACCCATCGGAGCACACACATCACGCAGCCCTGCCAAGCAGTTTCGCGATTCCAGCCCCTCCAAACAACATCCGCTCACATGCCAATCCCAATGTGACAGCGACATTCACCTCTACCACAACTCACAACCTCACGATTCCCTGCGCCTGCCACGAATCTTTCCCCATCCACACGTCTAACGCGCACAAAGTACTGCGCCTGCCACGAAATGTCACCTCCCCTCACACCTCGCAACCTCACGATTCCCTGCGCCTGCCACGAGAATCGCACTTCCACGCCTCAAAACCCGCACGAAGTCCTGCGCCTGCCACGAAAAGTGACAATATCATCGCATGTGAGCTTCAACAAAATTTGCACCACACCACACGTTTAGGAATGATTTCGGCCCGTTCTGAGCACACTGCCATCCACCAGAATCGCCATTTCAGCTGAGACTTGTCACGAAAACACAGCTTCGATGCCACACCCTGCAACGCAAATCCCAATGGCACGGCCACATCCAACACCCCGAAAACACGACTCTCCCAACGCTAATCCCAATGGAACTGCGCAGCAATCTGCAGACCTCACAAAACGCTGCGCCTGTGCAGCGAAATGCATCACGTTTCTTGCGCGACATGTCGGTGTCATGCAAATCACAATGGAATAGCGGCGCAAACTGACACGTGACACATCCATGCAAAGTCACTTGCAAAAGCTTCCCCCAATGGCAGCAAATTTGAGACGCGACGACGACGACACGACGACGAGAGACGACGACAAACGACGAGAGACGACGAGACGACGCAAGCCATGCAAACACAGCTCCAACCCCCAGACCCCCAACTATAAACGGGAACCCTTCGCTACGCATTCGGGAAAAATGTGCCTTTTGCCCTCCCAGCACTGCGGAAACATCACCTACCTGGATCGATGTCTCCCGGGCAAAAAGAAGAAACCTATATCTGGAATCCGCCGTTTTCCAGGAAGAATACGAGGCCGTCCGATGCAGCCGATGAGTTGGGACTGAAAAAAAGGAGACCCCACCGACAGGAGACCAGGATAACGTCCTGGAGGCACACTGCTGGTAGGTTGGAGGCCATTGCAATTGGGTAACTCAAAAGAAAATAGTTTTCCTTTGTTGAATTCACATCAGTTGGTTCAAATCAAGAATGGCCCAGCCGAGCTGTGGAGTGGGACATTGCTGATCCTCGGACAAAACGGCCTTGCTATGGGCAAGTAGTTGGATGACACAGGCGGATCCAGGTTAGTGGAAAATTGTTTGGAAGAAATACAAAGATAATCTATCATGACCTCGAGAGAAAAGTAAACTTCTTGGACAAGTCAACTGATCCAATGATAAATAATGCTTGGGATTTTAATTGTGAATGTCTTACAGAATGCCCCCAAGAAGAAGCCACGGGCTAGTATAGGCCCGGGCACTGCCAAGAAGGCTATCGATTTTGGAGTTGGAAGAATGATGAAGAATGATAAGTCAGTGAGTGTCCCTCCCAGCTTAACCTCCTTCAAACTGTCTGTGGAAGCATTGCAAAAACGTCTTGAAAGCAACTGATTTGGTCTTCTTGCTCTTTGCTCCTCTTTGTTCATCCTCTTCAGTGGAACAACCACCGGGTAGATGAGACTTGTCAAAAAAGGCTCTGCAAAAGCCGGTACCGAGTTGAACAACCCACGCGACCAACTACTACCGCGCGACAGTACGCGAGTTGAACCCGCCACCTGTGTGACAGCAGCGAGTTGATCTGCACGGGGCAGTCGGCCACATCACTGGGCACGAACAAATGCCGCCGCGGTGTCCTCGGAACGTTGAAAAAGGCGCTGAGTCGGACGTGGGACGTGGGCGACGGAGTGAATCTCGCAGGAGCGACATGGGACCCCAAATAAGAACACCATGAAAGATCAAAGCTAACAAAGCACCAGGGTGTGTCTTTTTTTTCCGGGCGTGGGTTCCCCACTCAAGGGACTTGACGTGTTTTGCCTTCACATGCGGACCTGAATCTTTGGAAAATAAGTTATAGTGTATGTCCGGATAAACCATTCAGAACCGAGAACACGACACATGATCACATCGCAAACAAGGTTCCGTAGACGACTGGCAGATCCTAAAATTAATGTCAAAACAAGTTTCTGTGGAACATGACTTTAAACAACAGTTTGTCTCCAAGACCAACTTAAAAATCTTAAAAGTGGTTGATCTGGTTTTGTCGTGTAAACCCCTTAGTGAAACAATGGTTGTTCGGTAAAGGCTATTAGACAAATGCTGGTTCGACTTCCAGGCCATCCGCTGGTTTGTCCGCGGATTCTCCAGGATTGCACGAGTCCACTGGCTTGGTGTTCACGCCAAATGCGCCACCTGAAAATTGCATAACCCTAGAGCTCCAACCATATCCTCAGCTTCGGTGGTTAGACCCCGCTGGCACCCACCCCAACCACCTTCGAAACGGAGGCAGGCCAGGAGCCCAAACGGGTAATGACATCCAGTTTGGCGGTCTAAATACTTGGCACATGTTGTCCTCCGCAACCATCCCATGGGAGGAATAGTTCGTGACCATCCCATGGACCCCAAAATGACCCCCATGAAAACGTGACGATATCCTACTTTATAAGGAGCCTACGAACCTGAAAAAAAGAGCGGAACCAATCCGAACCCGGCTTTTCACCACCTCTCATTCAAGAACCCGTTTTCCGCAATACATTGGATGATGATGGTTAGGTTGCAGGCATGTTGCAGGCCTGCAACTCTCAAATCGTGCAGTTCTTGTTGACCCTTTCCGGCTCCGGCCCGACCTCACCCGACCGTGGGCCGTGGCTCGTATGCAACCGCTGCAAGGTGCCGTCCTGGCGCTGCCGACGGTGAAGCAGAAGAGACGGGGGGGCCATCATTGCATATATATACAAGTACCGAAGGTTGGGAGGACTTTGACTCAGATTTGTTGATTTTTGTACAAGAAATTATATCATATTTTTGCTGAACCATGGGATGGTTGCTTTAAAGATCTCAATAATTACTAGTCTTACCAAAAGCAACTCAACTTCAGCCACTCTTCAGTGGAAGTCTTTGTCGATTCTCTTCACCGGCATCAACTCCCATCAACTCCCCATTCAATTCTTTGCTGAAGAAAGCAGGGGGATCATCTTACCCTACCCCGGCGCGAACTCCATCGTGCCACCGAATCGGCTCGCGTTGGTCTGTGGGGTTCGCACCACCCGGCTACGGTCCTGCAGCCAGCTCCAGGTGCCGCCCACATCGGGAAATCGCAGTTCCCTGGTCACTGTCAGCGTGGCATGAGTTTGAGTCCACGTCGTCGAGGTCTGCGTCGTCGTGCTGCTGCTGCTCGTGGACGTTTGAGTCCCTACGACTTCGCAGATCGGGTTGATGTTCACGCTCGATCCGCTGGAGAACTGATTGGTGTTGAAGTATCCGGTGAAGCCATCACCTGCCGATGGCAACAACCCATGTTGATGTCCTTTTGAGAAAAGAGGGGTTGGTACACTTGGGGGGTATCCCCCTATTAACCAACAATCCAATATAGTATAAACATCCCGCCGGGTGTGGAATCGCACGTGTAATCATGCAAATTGTGATACTAAGTGCAAGCCCTCTCAGTACTTTTGCTTGTTCGATGATGTTTTTTGGCGGTCCCGGTTCCTTTCATTTTTAAAGCCGAATCTGCCGAAACCCAAGCGCTAGCGCAAAATCCGTCGCCGTTTTTGTCCCGGGCTGTCCTCAACTTTCACGCGTCCTGTCTCAAGTAGACTTGCGCAGTTTTTTTGCACAAGTTAGTACACGTGGTGTTTTCCCAACGCCACTGCCAACCGCCAATGTAGACATCAATCTTCGGATTGAAGGATCCATCTGACTTTGTCAGCACGCTCGGTGGAATCGCCTCCTTGCACAGCTTCCAATAACTGTCTGTTCCTCCAGTGTGCACCTCAGTCCTGAGTCCATGAATTCGAGAGTGCTCGACGAACTGACCTTTGCTGTGACAGCAGGCTCTGTGCAGAACTTTCATCTCGGGGCACAGTTTCAAGTACGCAGGAGCACCATCAGAAATCAGACAGGTTTTTCCCAGGCTTCAGCCGCAAGTAGGTCTCAAAAGAACGAGCAGAAAAAACCGCCAGCGCAGCTTCAAGGGATGCGCTCAAATCATTGTTCTCAAGCCACTCGCGGCAAGCAACTCTCAAGTGACCTAGTCCAGACAGAAGAGCTTTCACGTTCATCGTTCAGGAAAAGCATGCCTCTACCTCAGGTAGGCAGCAATGGCAGCAGCTTCGATTCAAATAAACTCCATCATTGACAAAAAACACTCTACATCAAAGAAACTTTAATGAACGTGTAGAAACCCAGGCGCATGGAACCATCGATCAAGCACGAACGCGTTCATCGCAAAATACCGCTCCAGGTAACTCAACGGGCTTTCCACTTTTAGCTAACCGCAAAAGAAGTATGAGCCCTAAGGCCTCCATGACATCCACAGTCGGCATGATGCTCGTGTGCTGTGGATAAAACTTGGCCCACTTGGCCTGAAGATCATTGTAGATTTATATCTAGCCTTGTCCATATGAAATCTTCATCTGTTTCTCGGGCACTGGCTCTCTTACTCGGCACTTGCTCCGCTGCGGAATGCGGCAAAGACACGGAAACAAATAAACTTGTAAGCTTCCAACATGTATTACGCTCGCCCCGTGTGATATGCAATTGTACGTGTGTTCGACAGAGAAACGAACATCGATGAAATCGATGACAGTGTTGGCAAACCGATGACAATGTATGAAAACGGTGACAATGCTATGAAACCGAAGATTACTTGTCGTGAAATCGATGACAATGTTCTCAGCATGACATCCACATCCTCATTCCATCACAACCCCCCCCCAACCCCATATTAATCACACGACTAATCGATGACAATGCTATGTAACCGAAGATTACTTGTCGTGAAACCGATGACAATGTTCTCAGCATGACATCCACATCCTCATTCCATCACAAGCCCCCCCCACCCCCCCACCCCATTTTAATCATACGACTAATCGATGACAATGTTATGAAACCGATGACAATGTTGGCAAACCGATGACAATGTTATGAGAAAGATTACAATGTTATGAAGCCGATGACAATATTATGAAACCGATGACAATGCTATGAAACCGAAGATTACTTATCGTGAAATGGATGACAATGTTGTGAAACCCCAACCCCCCACCGTTCACGTAGCATCAACTTCAGAAAGCAAGTGCAAACGAACGTCAATATGCCCCATCCCACCCCAACCCAACCACCCCACCTTTCACGTAGCATCAACTTCAAAAATCGCAGTAGTCACACGTTCGGTTTTACACCCGTAGGCATAAACATGTATAAAGGGCCATCTATGAAACAACCAACACTGGGCCTTCCTTGTTAGGATTGTATAATTGGATGATCACGTTCCCTTATGGACGCATGGCAATAACTAGACACCCTGAGGTGACGCCCTCTCCCTCCACAGAAAAGAATGAAGGCCCACTGGAACACCCCGGTGAACCTGCCTCAGCTGAAGAGAGTTGGCTCATGGCCCTGTTCGACCCGAAAAAAAGAGGTCGGTTGACCTGGTGAAGGTTGTTTCGGGATTCAATCCATGAAATCAATCCCAAACACGACCTGTCTGGGACTGGCATATTTATCTACATTGACCCCTGGAAAAAACCACCCCCCTATGTAAATGTATGCCAGTCCCAAACAGGTCGTGTGGAATGGCTATAGGAATCCAAGTGCATGGCACCGCCCCAAGAACCCAAAGATCTGCGGCGGAGTCTCTTCGTTGTCCCACCCGGGTCTGCGGGTCCCGGTCGGGATTCGTGGCCGAGGCTGGGTCCGGGATCGTTTCTGGGAGTGGAGTGGAGTGAAACCGAACCTTGACAGCCAGGGATCACGTCGTTGGAGGTGATCTGTCCGATCCACAGGATCGACAACGCTTGGGCGGCCGCTTGACATCCTGGACGCGCGACGCGGCCGAGAGGTTCCGGAGCGCCGGTTTCGGGGCCGTCCGGGAAGGAAGGACAGCTTTCGGCGTGTCTTGTGGAGAGGAATGGGGAAGGTAGACTTCAACGACCAATGGATCATAGGACCTCAGAGGTCATCATAGGACATTGGTCCTTGAAGTAATAGGACATCATAGGACGTACGTCCCTACCGAAGAGTCGGTTCTGCACGTACCGTCCCTAAGCCTTGGGCATATGGCAGGTTGGGAAAACCTCGACCTTTGGATTCCTTACCGCAATCAAAGACATTTCAACGCCCTGTTTTCTTCAGAAGCACTGATCAAACCAGACGGCAACCACGTTTCAAAGGCTTCTTAAACCATGCGTGTCCCTCAAACAGTTGTTGCGTGTTTTTGGTCACAGAAACCCAGCCAAGCACGTTTCCTATGGCTATTCCTCTTCAGGAAAAGGTCAAGAAATGCCAAGATTGACGGGTGAGCAGGCTTTTGGTATCTTTTGGTAGATATGGCTATCCGAAAACCGGCGCATCCGCAAGATACAAACCCAGCACTTGTCCCGACATGTGAATGGATGCGACATAGGACTCGTGCAGCACTCAGTGTTGCCAGGGGGGTTACTTCTGATGCTCCTCCAATATATCTTATAAGCTCATATCAGACATACATACCCAGACACTCCATGTATGCCATATATGCCTACATTGACCCCTCAAACCACCCCATGTAGGTAAATATGCTATACATGGAGTGTCTGGGATACATCGCAGGAAGATGCGTGGCTATTCATGTGAGTGTGGCTATTCAAGCAGTGCAAAAACGGAGAACATATTCTCAAACCCTTCAGGGGGTCAGCCTCAATTTCAGACACTCACAAATAGGTCCGAAGACCCGTATACTTCTAGACAAGGCAAACAAGCAAAGTCAAGCTGATTGAAATCCTGACTGTTTGCTGTTCGATTCCACAAAACACATGATGTCCCCAACAGTCTTCGTCCATCAAATTGACAGAGCTGCATGGTACCTACCTGTTTGTTCCCGACTTTTCCCAACGCTTAGATCATCATCTAACTAATTACAGCTCATCTAACTATAATTACTGTATAGATCATTGATATCTCCGATGGACATCGTTACTCCATTCCTTCAAACGAAGTCTTGATCAAAGCACCCGGGCCGCCCAAATTCTTCATTCCACCGACCACCTAACCTACCCAAATCCCTCAGCAGAGGGGCCATTCCCGCGGTAGATTCTATATTAGATCCCCCAACAAGGAACTTATTTTTGTCGATAAAGGAACCAACAATCATCAACACCGGCATGACACGAAGGTTGAGCTGTTGAGCTGGTCTTTTCCCCTCCAAGCTGTAACCACCCGACGGACTTTCGCGCGGAGGCCCTTCTTCTCCGCGTCACTGTCTTCACTTCACCATCACCGCACCAGTCCTTTCAGCTGAGCATCTTTCCACCGGCACTTGTTGTGCCCCAATCGGACACCCCCCGCTGCCGCTGCCGGCCGTCCCTCGCACGTATTGTGCGAGGGAGGACGGCAAGCAAGCCCAGGTGAGCACGAAAAGGGCCTTCCGGACCATGGCGGAGAAGACCAAAGACACCTTGGCCCGAGGAGAAAAACAAAGCAAATGAATGCCTGCACCATGTTGTTTCTTTTGGTCCTCACTGTTGATGGCTGCTTTGTCAGTTGCTGTGGATTTTTCGTTGGCTCTCGTAGACTTGATATATGTCAAATGCGTTGCTTTCGTGTAGAAGGGCTGCCTTCGTGTGGTGCTTCACGAATCACTTGCTGGCTGCTCTTTAGCAACCGCTGAAGTGGAGCCATAATGGCAGAATGAAGTTCCAAATCCACCTTGAAACAAATGAGTACAGGAAGCCCAAATACCCCAATATCCAGAAAAAAGTCCCAACCACTTATAGTGTTGGTGGAAAAAGACGACCAACACCACCAATGTCACGACGGATCACAGCCTTAGGAAGGGACCCAAATAAACGTGTGGAACCACGCGCCTTGCTCACTCGGGGGACATGGGGGACACGTGCTCGACTGCCCAGAAGGGCAAAGACACAACTCGAGACTCGAGTGAGATGGGACGGGACTGACGCCGAGGCCGACAGAGGCGAGACCAACTTCTCCTTTTTGGGGCTGTCTTCAACAGGCGTTCCATGCTCGTTCCTTCCTGCAGCATTCCCAAAAAATCTGCGAAGCTCAGACGGTTCCAAAGAGATCCAGGCAGAAGAAGACCCCACTCTTGCCTACGGCAAGAGCGGTCCGAGTTCAATAAACCGAACGGCCAAAGCCATTCCGGTATCCCTGCCCTGGACATGAACTGCCTGCGCTGCCGGGAGCAGCTGCGCACGAAGTCTACTCATTTCAAGCGGTTGAACCATGTTGGACCTGGGGTGAGTGATCTTTACAGTTCAATGATCACACTTGAGGAAGCCTCAAAATCACGAGATATTCCGCATGAGCCATATCTATGAGGCACCTGAACTCCATATGAGTCTAGTCTAGGCCATGGCTCCAACGTTCCATGGCTCCGTCTACATCACCCCAGGCGCCAAAGGACGGTAACCCGGCGAAGCTCCGCTTCCCTCACTGCACGGTGTGCGCCGCTTCGTGCCGGGTCAAAGGCCCCTCACGACTCACCTTTCAACTGCTTCACTTCCTCGGAAGGCCCAAGGTGAACATCGAGTTCAACACCCACTTCGAAATTGTTTGGCCTTTTTTGCATTAAACTTGTTGTTCATGGTTTTTCGTTTCTTTTTTGTTCTCAAAACTGTCCCAACACCGAAATCCGCACCAACACTCCAAATCCGGAAAGCCTGGAAGATGAGACTCCGAGACGTCTCGGCCTAACTGCCGATCGAGACCGGTCGAAGACTTGGAATGCCAACGACTGAAGACGCTGTCGGGATTGGAGAGTGCCTCCCGTGGGAACGCTGAGTGAGTGCGGTCCCCACCGCACCCTGCGCAGCTCAAGGGACTGGTCAAAGCCAATCCGGACTGGAATCTATATACCCCTAGGGCTCCTGGCCCACCTCCGTTTCGAAGATGGTTGGGGTGGGTGCCAGGGGGGTCTAACCACCGAACCTGAGGATATGGTTGGAGCCCTAGGGTACCTAAAAGTAACTGGGGGTGGCGACCACCGAACCTGAGGATATGGTTGGAGCCCTAGGGTACCTAAAAGTAACTGGGTGGCTTCCAAACGCTTGGTTCGTTTGCTCGGATCAGTGTAGGTGAAAGAATTCAGTCCCATGACCCATGGACGGTTGTTCCAAAGTGGTCCTCTTTTCTTGCCGCACCTAGAGCCTGAGTGACCTCTATGTTGGCCCACCAGCCACCCCAAAGACGGTCTTTTCAACTGGAGCACAAACGGTATAGGTTTGTTAGACCCTCTTGGGATCCTCCCAGTCGACCGAGGTTGTGAAAAAAAGGGTGGAGAGCCTTCGGACACTCCGAGCTTCTTCTCGCAAGCGCGAGACTTCATCCAGTAGCGCCACGATCTGACTGATGTGTTTCCCGGGATTGCTGGCATAGTGGGCTTCCAACTCGCTCAATTGCACCTGAAAACATCCAAGAAGAAGTATCAACAAAATGCAGTTCACCAGAATCCGGTATACGTGTAATAGACTATACTGTACTGTATCCATGGATACACCAATGACAGACTTTCCTTTAACTGTAGTGACTTTCATATATTCTCTAATAGACTGCAAGAGTAATCCAAAGGTATAACCATTCATAGACTTTGCAAACTGTAATCGACATACTGCTTGAAAGCCAATGCTCTAAATCCGTGACAAGTCAAGTCCTCAATTTGAGTATTCCTGACATCTAACCCGCACCCACTACCACTGGAAGAACAAATCTGACTACATGTGACCTAAATTCAACACATGGTCTTGGACAAATGAGAAACAAAGACCTGAAAAGATCCCTTCAACCATGAACATCCCCCATGAACATCCCTCACATGACCATTTTATCTGGGATTGGGAGTCCCCCGTCCCGCATTCCATCTTGCCCCGACCCTGCTCTCACCGGTCCCACACCTGCTCTCCGCAAAGCCGGCAAGTGCTCCAACGTGCCCCGCACGCCTCAGGCGCGTCCCACGACGCGGTCGGAAAGATATTGAGAGAAGGAATCTATTGTGAAGGGATGGTGGAATAGCCGGCAGCCATGGCTGCTCCTTAAAACTTTAAACCAAGCCCATCAGCTTAAAACAATGAAACTCTTTCGGAAGACCTAAACGTATGGAATATTATAGAATACTTCCAAATTTAGGGATACACCATCTTCCAACTCCAAACTTTCTGATGACGTCTGACTACTTTATTCCCTCTCCAAATTCGTGGACCACGGGCGGCCCATCGTCTCGCAAGGACCTGTGCCACTGACGGCCCATCGTCTCGGCCATCCCGTCGAGCGTCCTTCCGATGCTCCTCCTGACATCCTGCTTGATAAAAGCCTTCACATGCCTCGCACTTCACTTGCCGCGCGGAACACGACTCCTTCAAATGCTTCTCCTGCGAAGAGCTGTGGTTTTTGGGTGCTGCCATGTGCCGCCCCTAAAGGCTTTTTGACCCGATGGCGGCCTCAATGACTCTGGAAGCAAAGAGTGAACCCCCCAAATGCTGTCAAGGTGTTGTCAAGAAAACACATCACCCCTTGAGTAAAAGACACACACAGTCCAGGGTCATGTGGATTCGTATCGTTCGCGACACCGGTTCCCACATCAACATCAAGACACACGTCGACCACGTCGATGACGTTTCAGTGTTTGGACGACGTCGTGAAAGCAGCGAAACTTCGACTGGGTGATGTCTCTGACAACTTCGCACCGCATATTCTCGGTATTTGTTCTTTTCCTGTCTCAACTCAAGGGTCTCTCCATGTCTTCGCCACACTAGCCCACGACTCAACCCCCCAAGTTCGGGAATCATGTCCATATCATTTTCCAAAAGAAGTCCCATCAGAAGTCCAAGAGTCTCATCATCCATGTCCGAAAAAAAGGGCTTGTAGCTTAGTAGGTCCTTGTCGTACAACTGGAAGTTCTCCCCGCAGCCGTTGGGGCACTTCACCAGCAAGTTCCGAATGGCTCGCCGCTCGAAGTGCGCCGGAGCCACGGTGGAGCCATCTTTCCGGCAGACGGAGCACTTGCTGTCCTAGCAGACGCTCCCCAACACCAAACCCCAGCGCTTCCTGGACCTGGGTGGTCCTGTCTGGTGACCTATAAGGCAGTAGGGGGGGCCTGTAGGGTTGTCCATTGGTAACCCCTTCGAAGCAGCTGGAAGAGAGCCCTCTCTTTTGGACAGGAAGGAGGGTGCTGAATTGCAGGGTCAAATCCAAGTGCAACTGATTGAACCGTGTGAACTGTGAAAATAATATCTTGCTTTATGGCATGGTTTTTGGGTACAATTACATCTTTTGGAATCCAATAAGCGAACTGGTCCGCCCAAAAACCGAATGCCGCCGCCCGCATTCGATCCTCGGCCATACATTTCACCCAGCAGGTCTCGCAGAAGAGCACTGCGCCGCAATCGTGTGCCATGGCATCACGAGCCACCAAGAAGCAAATGGGGCACCGAAACCTTTCCACCTGCAGAGGGTCGCTTCGCTGCAGGTCGGGTCGCGAACGGGATGGCCTCATTTTTGGGACCAGCCGTGTGGCTCAGATCCTCACAGTCCAGAAGGAAAGCCTGCCTTTAGCACGGAACTCCAAGTAAGCCGCATGCATTGCACAATTCATCCATTGATCTCAACGATCACAAATCCACCAGCCCGGGCTAATGTTTTGGGTTGGATCCACTCCGACTCACCTGGATTTTTTTGTGGGATGAGGTGGTTTTCCTACTGGTTTTCCTCTACAAACAGGGTGGCTTTCCACTTTCAAGTTAGTCTGTCAGAGTGTAGCAGTCTCTTGATGGATAACACGACATCCACTGAGAGGAATTGAGAGGAAGCATGGCACTTCCACCGTCCCAATCCCCACCTCTTGCTCCGAGAACCACTCCTCATCATAGCCACCCGTCACCTCGGGCTCATCCACCGATCCATTGGCACCGCCAGATGCCTCTTGCGCCTGGCCAGGCGACAAGCAAACGGCTGATGACTGCTGATGGGCCTCCAAAACATCCAAACATCCAAACATCCAACGGCTGCTGATGACTGCTGATGACTGCTGATGGGCCTCCAAACACCTTCAAAAACCACTCCAAATATCTCCCTAGCAGTCAGTCCGCTAGACCATCTGGTAGTCGACACAACGAAAGGACTTAGCTGAACCGATGGAAAACAGTTGCTAAAAAGGACACCTTCCATTCCAATGACTTTTCCTTCCAATGATCGCTTGACATGAGCTGGTGGGGACTGACTTGAACAAAACAAGGGGGAAGACGAGCCTCTCCACTACCTCGAAGCTCCCAGTGAGGTCCCACCACCTCCAACCCTTTGAACCCAGATCATGTCCCAGCCCTTTGAACCCGGCACAAACACATATAACTAACATCAAATATCCAAGGGCTCAAAGGTTGCCAAAAAATACACATAAACAGAACAAGAATGACTAAACAACAACCACTTTCAGCCAGTTCTGGAGCCTTCCCCAACTCGTGTAGACAAAAAACATAAAGAAATGCAGGTTTCCCCTGGGTGCCTCTGCAACGCGATGCATCTTCCCTGCCAAGCTCACTAAGCCCACCGCCGAAAGTGGCGCCACCAGTTGAGGGAAGAGCGTGGGGTAGAACCAAGCGCCACTCACCTGGGACGGCTTTGGGCCGAGGGAGAGGATGGAGATGGCCCACAAAATCCTCGAAGTACGGTGGGGTGAGGGGATTGACCCAGCTCAGAAAACTCGAAAAATCCTTATCCCTAGGGCTCCTCGCCCACCTTCTGAGATGGTTGGGGTAGGTGGCAGGGGGGTCTAGCCACCGAACCTGAGGATATGGTCGGGGCCCTAGGGTATACTATTATAATGCGATCCCCGAAATCATCATGGTGGACATCGTGGGGCTTTCCACGGCCAGTTCGCTTGACGAAATCCGAGGACCAAACAGGTGGTGCCATCCACCTATGGTGATGTCATGAGTGTAATTCTGACACAGAAAGTCACCATGGACACCCAGAATCGCCTCATACCAGTAAGGAGCCATCATTAGACACCCCAAGAAACACATAGAAACACGGGGAAAAAGCCCCTGGCACCTCCAGCACCACTGAACCCTCTGCAAGCACAGCCACGATCCGCTGCACGGTCACAGTCCACGGTGGCCGAAAGCTCAAACGACTCCCTTCGCTGTCCTTCAGGGCGAAGGGAGGCGCCGCGAGGCCCACGGCGTTTGGGTTCCACCGACGTTCCGTGATTTCACACCGCACCTTCCGAAGTGACGTTTCTTCATCCGTTTGAGTCCGAAGGTGGTTGGGGTCTGGGAAGGCAGTCCGAAGGAGTCCCACCATACCGAAAAAGACTCACCAAGGCGGCCTGCGGCCCAAAGCTTTCCCGAAACAACACCCAGTGGATGACACCTGCGTTTGGAACTCCAAGAAGCTTTACACTCCCTGAAACAATCAGGGAAGTGGCAAATGGACCCTGGAAAGATCATGAACTCCTGTAGAAACTCGTAAATCATGACTTCATGAATCTAGGCAATGCTCCGATACATTGGCCTTTGTTCTGTGATACAAGTACTTCTTGCAAGACACCACCGGAGGACGAAGCGCAATCAAATAGAAAGTGGAACTTGGGGGTCCTGTGTTCAACGGCAACACCTCTTCTCCAAATGTGATCCAATGTGACTTTGTGTCCCTATGCCTTCTCACACGCCAATCAAAACACAATACCCACAGCTGCTACCTGCACCCCCAGTTGGAGTGGTTAATGCACACCCCTTGACCTCTAAGGTTCTATTGACACCCGGAATCCGTGTTGCTCAACACACCGCGCGGGCCTCGCCATCTTCCGGACATCCAGACCAATCCACTTCCTGACAGCAGCAGTTTCGCGTTCGGGTCGGAGTGAGAAGCTGGAGTGAGGTGTGGACGGAGCACAGAGTAGACATGGCTCTGTAGATCTCTGTAGTCTTTTGCGTTACTAAAAACATGCAACAGACTAGTCCCTACAGGTCCCAAATTTTGGAGCCCTAATCAGTGTCCCAGTGAGTGACTCACTGATCACTGGTCACTGGCAAAAATGGAGGACGGTGGACGTGGATTGAGAAGCAAACCTCGTGCGACATGCGACTGGATAGCTGCAAAACGATTCCGCAGGGCCCCGACCATATCCTCAGGTTCGGTGGTTAGACCCCCCTGGCACCCACCCCAACTACCTGCTCAGGAGGTAGGCCAGGAGCCCTACAAATTGGTGCTTTGGCCCTGCGTTTCCGCCTCAAAACGACGTGTCTCGAGCCATCCCCAGCAGAGCGGAGGTCGAATCGCTTCGACGTCCTCACCTACGGTCCCGACGGAAAGGGGACCAGTTGGTGACTCTGAGGCCTGAGAGTACCCGCCAAACCCCATCAAAAGCGTTCAAAACCCCCGGTCGTCGCCGGGGGGGGCGTTCAAAACCCGCGCTTCGCCGAACTCGTGTCCAGCCCCTGCCGGAACCCGCCCGAGTTCGTCGCGTTCCGACGCGTTCCGACGCTGCCGAGTGTCGGTATCATCCTTCACCTCGGAGCGTGGGCTGAGGGGGCCAGGTGGCGGGTCCGGTGCCACAAAACCAAAAGAAAAGTATTATTTTGCCTTTAACCTACAGTAGCTTCTTGTTACTAGTAGTAAGGCCAGGAGCCCCGGCCCTCGTAGCGTCCGAACGCTCCGTTCGAGTCGCGATGCCGTTTGCTCCGTTCGTAGCTTCTTGCTACTAAGAAAGTGGGAACCTGGTCCGGCAATTGGAAGGTCGAACAGCTGATGTGGTCGTATGGGCCCTACTTGTCATGGCCACCCCAAATCCGGGCAGTCCAGCCAGTCCTAGTCGAAGCCCTCAAAGGTAGCCAGAAGAACTATCCACCAACTTGTGCTTCTGGTTTTCTTCAGTAATTCGATTTAGACAGCCAAGTACTTTGGGGTGTGACCTTCCCCTGGCTATATCATGATCTAAATACATTCAAGAGTCCACAAAAACGTGTATTCAGTTATTGGCCGTGGGTCAAACATGCCTCCCAGTCCAGTCCCGAATTTTGCTGGTAAGAGCAAGCTTCCAAACCTGAAGAACCCTGGAGGCTTCGACCGACCAGATCGTCTCATTTTCTAGCTCGTACCTCGCGAGCGACATAGCACTCTGGAAAAGCCATACATCTTGATACATGAGGCTTTCCATCAATGGAGGGACCCCCAAATCATCCCATTCTAATGGGGTGTTTAATCGCAAACCATCTGTTTTGGGGGCATTGCCATTTATGGAAACCTCCACATCTTGACAAATACTTACATGCTGCGACAAACAAATCCCAATTTGGACCCGAACCCCGGTTTTTCTCGCATAGCGCAGGCCAGTGGCGATGGTCACGACGTCCCCTTCACGAAGATCTCGAGAACTTCCGAATGATAGGGTTGGTGCCGAGCCATATCCTACAGAGTTTGGGCCCACGTCCCATCCTACAGGTTGGACCCTTCTGACGAAAAGTTATCCACTCCAGCACACAGACCAATCGCTTTTGGGGCGAACAACTTGTAGAATCCATTCGAATCCCTACCAGGCGGGAAGGTGATGGACACTCAGGACAATCAGCTTCTTGTGGAAGCAAGTCACCGTGTAAGCATCGACCCCAAAAGTAGAATATGTATGAATATGTATCACTGTATCACTGTGTAGTGATAATACAACATGCAATAACTGTGTTAATAAGACTTGTCAAGGAACCACCACTTCTTGATTCAAGTCAAGTCATGATGTCTAAATCCATATACAGCATGCAATAACATGCAATTTTGTCTGTGTAACTGGGCAGGTTCCACTTCTCTTCTGGGTTTGTCTAAATCCGAGGGCGTCATGATGTCTAAATCCCAACCATCCCAAGTCAGAGTCCACAGACATGTCTCAGACATGTCTCACCATGTGTCACCCGAGTCTCTGGAATTGAAGGCGACCCATTCCCTCGGCGGCGTGACGCCATTGCGCTCCGCACCGCTCGAAGGGCCGTCGTACTTCCGCTGGCGAGTGTTCTCTTCATCGTTGAGCCGCCAGAGATCGGCTTCAAAGAAGATGATGGACTCACCCTCCACCTGGCAGGGGGGGCAGGTGTCGAACGGTGTCAGACGTGGGGTGGTCAAGTGGGAGGAAACCAAAAACGCCCGGAAAAACGGTTGACCGAGCCACGAGCCACGCGGAAACAAGAGGTGCGTGGGTGGCGAAGTTCGGGTCTGACATGCTGGGGGCTGCGACCATCGATCCATCGACCCATGTCCCCACCTGCTTGTATTTGGGCTTTCCCTCATGAAAGCCCACATTCGCATAGCGGCCGTTCACCGGCGGATGCCCCGCGCCGCGCACCACCACGAAGGGCGGGTGAGGCTGCTGAAAGCCTTCGGAGGAATAGCGCGCCTGCGGCTCCAGCGACGGGGCGGGGTCCGCTCGCCCGGAATAGCCCTCGGTGGTCCAGCCGCGCGAGGGCGGGAGATCAGCTCGTGTGGGGTGCTGGTAATACCAACCACCCTCCTGATCTCCTTGGACGGTCCCGGCTGCACCGAAACGGACATCCCAAAAAGAAGAGCCACATCGTCACATCTTCACGTATACAAGGTGGCGTTTCTTCACCGAGAAAAGAGGTGGAAAAATCAAAACCCAAACACTCCATGGGACTGGCATATTTATACCTACCTTGGGGTGGTTGAAGTCGGGGTCTTTCTGGCGCGGCATAGTCCTATATGGCAGTCCCAAACGGAGTAAACGCAGTGTCTGGGAGAGTGGCCTTTCGGGGAAAAACACATTCGCCGGGTCTCTGTAATTAATGCGCCAAGTGCCTCGAAAGTAAATGATCCCAGCACCATCCATCTGCCAATACTTCGGCTTGCCGTTGCTGGAGCCAATGCAAACGTAGCAGCCATTCGTTTGCTCACCCACACCACCAGCGCCTTGAACCCAAAAGAATCTGGGTGCGGAGGAAATCGGACTATGAAGAAGAGACACTCTTGGTGATTCTCCTCCTCCAACTGCGCTCCAATCACCAGTAGGAGGAAGCGCAACATCATCTGGATGATAGTACGAGTGTTCGGACATCTCTGCACCCTTCATCTTCCAGCCATCCTCAAACTGCAGTACTGAGGAGCCACCGACTTGTCGGAACTTCGGCTTGCCATTCAAGTCTTCCGCACGAGCATAACGGCCATTCATCATGGGACTGCCATTGGCCACCACCAGAACTTGAGGAACACTGCAAATACTGACCGATCCTGAGCCCTCTTCAGATGCCTCGGATCCTCTCCACCGGCTGCTGGGCGGCTGCGAGAGCGACTCATCGGGATGGCAATACACCCAATCCTCCACCCCTGCCGGCGCCACGGAAACAGCTTGGAGCGTGAAAAACGCATGGATTCGCTACCTACCTATATCGTGGTGCAAGTCTGGGGGCCTCCGGACCGGGGAGGAGGGTTCTTACACACGAAGTCGAGCCATTCCAAATGGTATGTTTATCTTTCGTATCTTTTAGAATTGAATGGTCACCAGTGATTCACCAGCACACGCAATAGCTGCAGTTTCAGGAGGACATTCATGCATGTTCAACAAACGCTTAGGAAACAAGAAGAGAAACATCTGACCAATCCAAGATTGAAAAAACATGAAACAAAAGAAAACAACATGAGACGACCAATCCCCACACTGAGTCTGTCAGTCAGCGACTGAGTCTGTCTCCGAGAAACCATGGAGACCAATCTTCCACTGGGCGTCGAAATACACCGCCCCCATGCTGCGGTCTTCCGCTTTTTGGTAGATGACCTCATGGGCCCAGCCCAGCGGTCTCGTGCGTGGCCGCTTTTGTCTTGGACTCTTGGACCTACTCTCCCTAGAACTAACATGGAAGTGGATGGCACCACCTGTTTGTCGTGGAACATGGTCTTCCAAGGGGTCATTCTCCACTTCCATGTCAGTTCGGAGTGTAATTCCTCACCAGAACCGGTGTGTATTTGAATACGTAGACACCCGATTCCATCGGTTCTGGCTGGCGAACGGTCGATGGAGAAACCGCATCCGATCCGGATGTCGGAATGCCTAGCTACACATCCATGGTGCAGGATGACATGAAGAGTCCTTGTAGGACTCAAGGCATCTGAGTTTGTCAAGGTAAACTAAACAGCATCTGAGCAATCTAAACTGCCTCTCAAGGTATCTGAGTTTCTACAAGCAGGATTGGCTTCAATGAAGAGAGCGGGAAAAAACATTAACAGCTGCAGCTTGGCAGGTGTAGCTCTTCTGGTGGCTATAGAGGGATTGAATGTCTATGGATACAAATGGCATCATATCAATCATAAGCATACTCAACCTCTGAAGAGATGTACCGAACCTGCATCCGTGGCTTGTGTACGTGTGCCGAAATGGGAAGGATCTGTCTTCATCCTGATCCTCCAAAAGCTTCCTTGGATGTTTGTTAGTGCAGTTAAAAAGGTGCACACGGAAAAGAACAGATCTTGGTCCTTTCATAGACGCTACATCGTCCACGCGCCTAGTTATAGTGACGTTTCCTACTTACCTAGTTCTGTTGTTACATGGCAGGAAAAAGCGATCAACCCACAAGACTTCAACGGGAAGAACGGGAACTTCTCCTCCCTGCTAGATTCCGCATGGTTGCCATTCGCTACAGTGGAACCCAAACCAGTCGATTGGCCTGTAGCCTGGCCTCCTCACTTGTGTTCGTTGCGCTTGGCCAAGTCGCTTTACCGTTATGTTCGCCGTGGTGGCGATAAAAACCATTCGCTTCTGAAAAGGAGCCACCAGCTCCTTGGACCAAAATCTCTTGTGCCAGCTCTCCTCAGCTTCAAAGAAAAAGAAGGAAAAGCCAACTTGAACTCGCTCTCCGAGAGAGCAGAATGACAGGTCAGATCGGACGTGCCATTAGTGGTCACAGACAAGAAACCAGACTCGAAAACGTCTACTGTAAATGTCCATCTCGCAACAACGATCGAAGCCATCTGCTTGAATCATCTCGCCCCAAAATGAGGAAACAAACACAACAGTTCAACATCCATTAAAGAACAACATACACATAACGCATCATCACACAGACACAAACACCAAAACGCAAATACACACACCACGGTGTGTTTCATTAGGCGGACCGGGCCGCTACCCCACCCCTGCAGTTAAGTGGATGAGCTGTCGGCCGTTCAACACAGCAAATCTATGCGCCAACTGATACCACACCACGGAAAGCGTGCCCAATATTTGAAATAGCCTAGGGCCTAAGGGTGTCCATTCACCATCCCTTAGGATGGAAGTACAGAAATCCATCTGAACCCCTTTCCGTTTCGCCCCACCCGACTCCAATTCCTCCACCCCGTCCGCGTCGAGCCTCCCTCAGAGATGCGATGCTTCACACCTCGCAGTCTGACAGAGCGCACCGCTCGCAGCGGCACCGAGCCGGAGCCGGGCTCGGGGACAAACCAGTCACCCTGGATGCGGCCCACAGTGAGGTGGCAAGGAAAGTCCCGGAAGCGGAAGCGTTGGCGATCCTGCGCGCAGGAAGGAAGGAAGCGATCCTGACCGCTCGTACTGATCAACGCTCGTTTTACAGCTCTGGATGCTGGGAATGGATGACGTTTGTGCGGCTGGAGTTGTTTTTGAAAGTAGAGAAAAGAAGAGAGACAATCCCTTTTCGTTGCTGAAAAGAACTAAGACGTCTAAGTTACATCAAGACATCCAAACATCTAACCCGGAGTTGTCACTCCATCTTCCCGGAGACTTTTGGTTGGATTTGTTGGGGGATTCTTCTGGTATCTGATGTATCAGGTGGGTGTTCATCATCCTTTTTCCCCTTTCGTAGCAGGTCTCAAGCTGAGTCCAACGCAGAAAACCGTCTTCTCCCCGGAGCTGCTCGGGTGTCCGAGCTGAAGCCATCTCCAAGCGGAGTGTGGGAGCCGTCACGAGCGAGGGGGAGGTGCAAGGAGGAGGCACTATGAGGCACTGTGGTCTTGTGAGGTTCGGCTTGGAGAGATGTTCTAATTGGAGCACTCCCCCCGTACTAGGAACAAAAAACTACTAGGGGCTCCTGGCATCGCTACTAGGAGCAAGAAGCGACTGGGAACAAGAAGCTACAAGAGGAAAAAAGACATTGAGTCTTGGGGTCCTCCAGATCCATCTGGATTCCCCCCCAAGAACGCCTCCGGCCCCTCTTTAGGGTGGTTCATGGACACCCTGAATCACCTCTAAGGGGCTACAATTAGACACCCCCCATGGCCGGGGCCCTGGTAGTTTTGGGCTTTCCAACTCCTTCTTCCCACGGATCGGCTGCGTAGCTCAACAGCTCTGAAGCTCCCGTCCTCTGGAAATCCTGACCAATCCACATCCTCCTCACGTTCAATAAAGACTTGATCACCTTCTTGCAGATCTCGGAACGTTCCCAACCTCGCATTTTTCCACAACCATTCCCCAAAAGCAAACAGGCTCCTAGCAAGAACTCAAAACACACCTTCGGAAAAACGGGTGAAACAAACAGCATACAGGATTAAGTAACCTCCCCTATTAATCAAGTCCAGCTCGAGCCCCCAATACTAAAATAGTTTAAAACCTAAATTTCCACCTTGACATCCCCTAATAGTTGCTTTCCTGGCCAGAAACCTCCCCCTATTAATCAAGCCCATCTGCCCCTAAAAACACACATAATTCATTTGTATATTGTTTAAAGCTGCATCTAAGCTGCCAATGTTCTCACCAACAATCTTTATCCACAATCCCAAAAAGCATCTAACAAAATCGCTTCATTTTCCCTTCTTCACTCTATCAAAATTTTAACGTTTTCTAGCTCACAAAGGGTACCCCTCTCACAGGCCTCAGTGTTCACACACAGTCCTATCAACCATCATCCATCATCAGGTCATCACCAATACCTAAGCGGGACGTGGTCTCCAATAATCTCCAATACCTCCAATCTCAAACCTTGTCGACCTTGAAGTGGGGGGTTGATTAATCCGGTGTTGGCATTACATATCCAACAAAACTGGCCCCATCAACTTCCCCCCCAAAACTTCTCGACCGGCTCTTCTTCGTCCAAGTTCATCCTGTTCTCCAGGGCGCGACAGGCTCGGCACCGTGCCGAAGCGCGTATGGAACTGCAGCCACTCCCGTGGAGGCATCGCAGCGTCGCCCTCGCCATCGTAGCAACGCTCGTCGGTGACCTCTTCGTCATTCAGGCGCCACTTGCCTCGGCTCTGCAGGGCCCGAGTCGGGGCGGTTAAGGCCGTAGGCTGGGCGTAGGTTGGGCGGGCTTTCGACAGTCCGGGTGACCGAAGTCTCCTACACTTTTAGGAGGAGGGCGCAAAGAGTGGAGGCGAAAACCCCAGTTTTGGTTGGAAAAACAACTACCATAAACAATGAACACCCGTCGACACCCGTTTTGAGTTGATTCCCACATGGCCCGTCGCCATGTTACACATGCACAAAAAACATGGCTTAGTGACGTCATATTGACATCATTGTTGAAGTCAAACACATTCAAGGGGATTTCAAGGGGTCCGTTGAACATGTGTGTGATTCCTTGACCACGGATCTATAACGTAGTTCTCTGAGCGATGCAATCATGATCAAACATGTCACCTTTTCTCGGGTCAGTTGCGATTACGACCGCACCCAGCACTCAAATAGTTTCGGAATGTTTCCTTCTTTTGATTGAAATGGATGTCGTGTGTTGGTCCAGGATGCGAAAAGTGTTTGGAGGAAATTTGCAGGCGGAGACAAATCCTGAAATAACATGACATGACCCAGATGTGGGTCGTCTGAAAAAGAGATTCGGTGAAAGGTTCAGACGTCCTTCGGCAATAGAGCCGATGAACAAGGCGCTGAGGTAGCGTGTCAAAAACGTGGCATACAGACTGGGATTATGATCAGGCCACTTAGCAAATTCGTCCCGATCATGGAACAAATCAACGATTTTTACCAGCACCACGGATTCTGGGTGTCCTTTAATAGCTGCTTGGAGGTCAAGGGATGTCCATTAACCATGCCTTGGGGGTCCAGGTAATGATTCTTGCTCATTTATACAATACAGTGAGCTTCATGGTCCGAGGTTGGCTGTCCTGAGCCCAAATCAATGTGAAACAGCTTGTTGAAGCGTCTTGGTGTGATGAAGCAGGTGAACCAACGTTGTTCAGACCAAAAAGCCTCTTCCTCACTGACGGCCGTTCTTTCTGCCACACTCCATGAAGATCCCTCAAGGGCCGTGGACCACGAGTGAATGAAAACGGCCAACCAAGTGGTCGGTCCTTCAGTACTGATGATCATCTGTTCGGCGAACTTGCTAACTTGACGTAACCGCCCACCTGAGCTCATGCACAGGGACACAAGAAAACTTCATGCACAGGCGGATGACTCGCAACCACACCGTGTCGCATGAAAACCACACTCCGGATGTTGTTCAAAGCTTGAAAGCTTTAACTTGGCTGGGCAGGGTGTCCAAAGACAGGCCTCAGCAACCCAGACATGTGAAAGTTGCTTCATGGGAGTCAATGACTCTCTTTCATAGCAACAAGCGCCCTCTGCCACAAGGAGCACATGTGGCCACACTCCGTGCCGAGAAGACGACATCATCCAGGGGCAGTGCAGGACAGAGGGTTGCACAGCTTCAAAAGCAGTCGGAATGTCAATGTTTCAATATGTTGCTGGATGACGAGGTTTTGATGTCCAAGGATGGGCAGAAACCTCTTCATCCAGCAACATACTGAAAAATGATGAAAAATGAGCTGCGCCCCAGGCATTCCGAGTGCTTTTGAAGTTGAAGTTCTTCTTGAAGTGGTTTTGACCTGATCTCAAGAATCGGAATCTGCCCATCCTTGGACATGGCCAGCTTTTTGAGATCCCAGGCGTGCTGCGATGAGAGAGGTCAGGATATAGCCCAAGTATCTGCGCAGCAAGGTGAATTGCTATCTGAACAGGCTTTTCCAACCATTGAACATCTGCTTTCACAGCCTCCCACCAAGCCCTGAGGGGTCTACCAGGAGCCGGAGGCTCGTGACGGTCAGGAATCCACGCCTCGTTCTTAGACTTGCACATGAAATGGCTGCTTCAGTTCCAAAGTCTCCAGTCGACTCTCGGCCCAGACTCTCATGCGGAAGCTGAGAGTCCAGAGTTTCCAAAGTCACGTCCCCGGTCTTCGCCGTTGCCCCACGGTCTTGTCCGGTCTCTTGGGTTCGGGTGGTCTATCTGCATGAAGGTCACGCGCGAATTTGAAGCACACACATCTGCATGGAGGTCTTCTTGGAAAGCTGCAGATTGCCACAAGCAGCTTAACTCTTGACTCAACTGCAGGACTTCCAGTACTTCCATGTCCTGGTCAGGTGTAGGAACAGGAGCAGTACGGGCCCTCAGCTACATCGGAGCACTGGGCGGAAAGCAAGTTCGAAGCCGATGCCGGTGACGATCGTTGACGGGCTTGGGGTGCAGATGCAGGCAAGGTAGTAGAGGAGGTGGGCAAAGGCCACAGATTAGAAAGCCTCCCCACTTCCTCTTGCATCCTGAGATCTTGATTGTAGCACTGTCGCAGCCTTTGGTGCACATCCCCAAAAGTCTCACCGTTCCAAGTCATGGTACTCCACTTCCAAGTTCTCACTGACTGCTTTTTGCGAAACTGGCCACGTGCCGCAGCGAAACGAGGAGGTGCGAAATCGGGCACAATCTTTACAAACCTTCTGGAATATCTCATTGGGCCACCCATCTTCCAATTGAACAACTCGACCGAACCACGAGGTCCGGGCACACATCTTGTTGTGCGAAAACCCGCGGTGAGGAACCATGCGAATTCGCGCGAAGCCGTACGCGCTTCTAGAACGGCTGGTTTCGGGCGGGTTTCGTGCGGGTTTCGGCTTGACCGAGTGGCCGGCGGTGAAGAAGATGATCGAGTTTCCACCCAGTTGCTTGTACTTCGGCCTTCCAGAGAAGAGGCCCTCCTGGACGGGAACAAAAACATCGCCGTTTTGGGCTGCGTTCTTTGCTAACCGCCCGACCACTCCATGTATGGCATCTTTAAATATACCTGCGTTGACCGTTAAATCTAAAAAAGAACAATCCATCTTAGGCAAAAAGAGTTCAGTCCCAAGGATTGTCTGCGACTGGCATGCTTGTTGACCTACCTTGGGGTGGTTGACCCGAGTTCAATCCCAAACACTATGTATGATTATGTATACGGCATACTTACCACATTGGGATGGTTTCAGGGGATCATGTAGGCAAAAATGTATACCTAGCACTTCCTGTCTGGGTGCCCTGTCTGGAGACCTATAAGCATAGTGTAGGGTTATCCAGCCAGGTGACCCGTTGGAAGCAGGTATATGGTATACCTGGACCCTCCAAAGTTCATAAACAGGTCTTGTTCCCATGTTCCGAGGTACGAACTGAGAATCTACCAGTCCCAGTCAAACCCTCACACGATCGGCTTCGGGATCGAAAACAGGTTGCTCCCAGCTGTTGTGGATGTAAAATGGTCGTTTTCTGCTCCACCCGACAATCTCGGAAGGTGAATCGATCGGAAGAATCACCGATCTGGGACGAGGAATCGTCCAAATCCCCACATCCGCACACCCTTCAACCGCCACCTCCGACTTCGACTCTGGCCTCCAAACACTGCACACCTGCACACCTGCTGCCCCCACCCCTTACCAAGTGCGGTTCACCTGTGCATAGCGTCCGTTCACCGGCGGATGCCCAGCGCCCGAGACCACCAGGAAGGGCGGGTCGACCGCGGTCGATCCTCGGTCCGTGGGCTCTGAAAGTCGAATCAAATCATCTGCTCCACAGCAGAAAAAGCCGCCGGAATGGGACGGAAACAGCCCACTTCAGGTTCTCTTCCGCCTCCCGCCTTCGTGGGCGTTTTTGTTGGCACATGTGTTGCTGGATGGCTTAAGCAGATTTGGGTTCCCAACTGTCCAAATCTCAAGTGTTGTTGGGTGGTGTATAGAAGGTCTGTTTCTGCGCGATTGATTTCGCAGATCTCGTGTTTCGATCCTTCGCCCGATCGACGGATCTGGATCAGATCGTCCAAGCAAACCCCTGTGCCAACAAAAGGTTCAATAGGTTATCGGTATATCGGTATACCCTACACCACCTGGCCCATCTCCGACCAGGTGACCCGTGGTATTCGACCCCCCTGGCATCCACCCACCCCAAGCACTCATCGAACCGAAAACGGAGGTGGGCCAGGAGCCCAAACGGGAGATTATCCCATTACTGACATGCATGTTGAACATTTGCTTTTGCCAAACATGTTTCTTGGACATCACGACATCACATTTGGCATTCAAATATGTTTAATGCACATTGGATTCCCAACAACAGTGCAGGATGATGGTTAGGTTGCAAGCCTTTCTCAAAATAGTGATCATCTTGTGCATTATGTTATATCCTTCATGTTGCTGTTTACCAGGGCACACCCTATCGATGGTGGAATCACACGAAAAACACACTCAACTTCCAGTCGGCATTCAGCTTGGGACCTGGGAGAGTACGTGTGTGCTCGAACAAAGTATAACCCATGTGTCATGAAACAACACACATTATATATGCAAGTCAAATTTCCAAACCTTCATTTTCATGGGTCTCCAGTTTTCTTCGGGATCACTGAAGCAAAAATGGTTTCGAGTCGTCTTCCTCACGTGCTCCACTGCTCCACCTCTCCACAGCTCTCGGTGAGTTCACCCCTACACCGCTGTTCCGCGCCTTCGTCGCGGTCGGAACTGGAGATGCGATGCTTGATCCCATGGAAGTCCACGAAGCCCAAAGCTGCCTGCAGCGACGGTCCACGTGTCCGCAGGGCACGTGGAGCGGTTGGCTTTTGTGGCACAAAGCCGCGGAAGCGCGCGGTTGGGGGGGGTATGTAGGCTCAACAAGGCGCCCCCCACAAAAAGGACAACAACAAGGCTTGGACTCCTGTGGTCCACGTCACAAAAACGGGGGACAACTGCGGAGCGGTAGTTTTTTGCGGTCTAAAAACGGCACGAAAGGTCTCTTCCGAGGTCCTGGCGAACTTCAGAGGCAAGCATTTCGTCTCTGGAAATGAGGAGTCAAAGGGTTTCCCCGTACAGCTGGTCAGCTCTGGTCAGCCAAGGTCTTGAACGGGGAAACCTATGCTTCAATAACGATGATAAATAACAGGCAAGGCTATATATATATATGCATTCTCAATGGGTTTTGACAAGGTAAGCTTACGAGGACATCCGCCATTTGGTGGCCTTGATCAGTTTGGATCTTTAACACTGGAACAAACACGCCACACACACAATAACACCATTGTTCCCAGACACTCCATGTATGCCATATATGCCTCCATTAGGGTGGTTGACTGGGGGTCTTTCTGGGGCGGCAGTCCGTCCTGGCAGTCCCATGGATCGTGGTGTCTGGGTGATTGGCAGTGCATGTGCTACAAAAATCCTCGCCTCTCCTCCGACACCCGTGGACCCCTGGATTGCGCTCCGCCGAGCCACCAGCGGCGCAACCAGCGTTTCGTACTCCGTGGAGTAAAACCAACGACGCAAGGCCCCCGCGGCGCCCTCTGAAGAGCCGGTCTCCGCGTCACCCACGAGGCGATGAACCACCAGGCTCCAGGGTGGATTTGCAAAGGTGAGTCGTTGGCCAACACTCTCCTGGCGGATGGTGAAGAGAGCAGTATGTGGAGAGCTATGGACGTGAATGGACGTGAAACGTCTATGGAGAGTAGAGACCCTGCCGGATGGTGGACGTATATGGAGAGCGTTTACGGAGAGTATGGACGAGACAAAGGCGCTTTCCGCTTATATTTGTTCAACTACTTAGTATGAAGTCATGAATCCGGTGTTCCCCCTAAAGTGAGTCTCTTTGAAATGAATATCTGATGCGAAACTTGTATAACTTTCTATCCCAAACCATGCATGTGTCAAACGTTATGAAACAGTCACTCACAAAAGGGTCACCAACGGGGTTATTTTTATCATATAACTATTCCATATACCAGCACCTTCCAACAGGTCTCGTCTGGATAATTTTGTAGACTTAAAAGTCGCAGGTGGTGACCTGTTGGAAGGTCCTGGTACATGGAGTGTCTACAGAATGAGACCAAGTGTGCCTTGTCATGAGCCAAAGTTAACCTTTTGGAGTCGTCAGCATGTCAGCAGATGGAAAACCTTTCAGCGACCAAACTTTCTCACTACAAATGGCTTCGTGCCGGGTCATTTGAGGATGTTTTGAGGTGTTGTCTTGCACATCCTGAAGTGCAGATGCTTCCCGTTCTGAAGTGCATCCTGTTTGGAAGTGATGGTTTTCCGTCCCAAAGCCATGAGGATCCAACCCAAATCGACCATAGATGGCTTCGAAGAGTCCATCGATCCCTCATTCTATCCCATAAGACTTAGGAAAACTCGAGCTCTATTCCCAAAGCAGTTCCTTTCTTTCTTGAAACCTCCGAAACCCTGAACCTCCAACGCCCCAAGCAGCAGGACAAAAACAACCATACACACATACGTTCGAACCCCGCGGTGTTCTGCCCTGAAGTCCTCGGGGCAGTCCGACCAGTCGACCTGCGAATCGGCCTTCACAATCGTGACCTGACCACGGAACAACGAAACCGACCGAAACCGGTCGAAACCGGGTCGACGATCACGACCCGGGACCAACCCGAGGGGGGTGTACCAAGCGCCGTACCTGGAGTGTGTGGGAGTGGTAGCTGCTGAAAACCTGGCTGGGGTGACGCTAGCTGGACAACCCCTAAGGATCCAGTCGTACCTCCTCAAAAGGTACGACTGGACCCTCCACACCCACCCCAGTCCCACCTTCGAAACGAGGGTACGACTGGATCCTATCCGGGAACCCTACACTGATCACCAGCGCGGCTAGGCATCTTCCGCTGGGTTCCTACCCGACAGGTCGGGTCTCCGAGCGTGCCTGGCTCGGTCCGGTTCTTCGGTTTCGGAAACGCGTGCCATGAGCCCATGGCGATATATGGCGATAGAGATGCGATAGATGTGGACGAAAGACTATATATACTTGAGAGGAGGGAGACACGAAAGGTAGGACAGCGGGAAGAGAAGAGAACGCGAGAGGCAGGAACAAAAATGCAATGTTGGACATGGTGATCTATCCCCTCGGAGGCGACCTTTTATAAATATATGTTCATATGCACTCTAAATGTTCAAACATATGCTCTCGAACTGTTCAAAAAGATTCTTAGGAAAACAAACTTGCCCCATGGCTCAGATCATCGGTGAGCATTGAATCGGAGCATCATAGGATTTGAACTATCCTGAAACCATAAGAGGCTCACGAAGACGCTCCCCAGGAGAGAATTGACGTGCTTCACAAAACAAACTCTAGGTATGTATCCCCTCGGGAACACCTTTCGTGATTAGAATTCTGAATGTTCAAGAGGGTTTCAACTATCCTGAAATCATGAGAGGCTCACGAAGACGTTCTCCAGGAGAGAATTGAATTTAGAGGGGGGGGGTCTGTATTGAGAAATCAATTCGAGGGGG